GAAGTGACCAGAAAACTAAACATCCCTGACAATACTTCAAACGTGAAACAGGTGTCAGCAAATTAGCCATTTAAATATTTCTACAACTTCTCAAAATTTCAACACAAAAAAACTCAAATCAGTTTCTAAAGTAATCTAAAACCAAGCAATATATTAAATGTATTTATCATTATTGAGTATTGTATCTTAATTCTTTTAATGGCCTAAGATGCTGCATTTCATTTGAACAGATTTATGAAACTCTACCAAGTTAGTTAAAAATTAATACTGATTACATTACTTTTAAAATAAAATTAAAACTTATCAAAAATGTTTCAAATAATACTTTTTCAATTCTTTCAAAAGAAAATATAGACAACAGTTTCACAGCAAATGGCACATGTAGAAATGAAGAGAAGAAACACATTTGAATCAGTATTTAATTTAAAATATGCATAAAGGAATCGTAAACCAGTTAAAACTGATGAAAGGTAGGAAAAGTGACCAAATGTTAACCAAAAAAAAAAAAGACTTTGTCAATACACAACCTTAAAAAACTGTCAAGGTTACAAGGTACATACCAAACAAATGGAGCTGTTTATGTCTGGAATTCAGCACTGGTTAATCCTTATGAGAAACAGGTTGCAAAAAATTGAGTATGTATTCCAGAGACAAGCAAAGGGAGCCTCACCAACTTTTCTGGGAGAAAAGAAAGCATCCTCAAGGTATGCCCTAGAACTGCAATATATCTGTCTCTTCTGAAGTTTACAATGGCACATTACCACAAAAGGTGGGCACTCTCTTTCCGCTCTTACAACAATTTGCTCCTATAAACTTAGGAAGGGGCAGAGCCACAGTCATAAACATAGGTCACAAGTAGTAGGTAGTCAAATGCTATCTCCAAATGTTTCCCAGGTCTTTACTCCCATAAAGACTCAATAAGCCTATTCTATTTTTTTTAACGCTTTAAATAAGCAATTCATCTAGTCTTGGTCAGATTATCATGAAATTAAGAACACCACTATCATACAAACTACTATAGGAACTTCAAATATTTTACTTTTCACATAATAAGATATCCCCCATTTCTTAAGTTAAAAACTTTCTATCACATGTGCAAAAAGTGAAATTAACAGAAAGGTTTAGGGACTTATGTTTAGTAGAAGTCACTTAGCATAAAAACCACCAGTATTATTTCTAATGTTGCCAAGGTGTACTTCTATTGGACGACATAAAGACAAAATAAGCAAAAATGCCTTACTCACAAAAACCAAAGAACATATGCAGAATTCAAAGCTTAGATGGTTTCTGAAATTTTCTCAAGTTATCTCACTTTAAGAACCACCACTCCTGCTATCTTTTAATAAATGAGATGTTACCACTACAGAGGTAAAAGCATTTCTACGCTTAGAGTAACCAAAGCCTAAGCCAGTTAAAGTCTGGAAAACATACTCACCACTAAATTATACCACTATTTATATAATGTTATAAATTAATTATGCCATTTTAACCTAAGATAAGTAGCAGTGGTTTCTTTCCTCTATTTCCCCAAGACAAAGGGATCATGAATATTAAGCCCCAAATCCAAGGAAGGATAAAAACTTTCTTTCAAAATCACCAATATTTGTCACTTTCAAAATTTCCAAGTTTTTTATTCCTGGAATCAGCAATCACTTCAAATTTTAAAATAATTATGTAATAATTCTCAGACATTAATAATGGTTCTAAAATTCTTAGAGGTGCTGGATTTGCCCACTCCAAACCACAAAACACATTCGGCAATGCAGACCAATCTTCACCTTACAGCTCTAAAAGCTTACAGAGCTCACTTTTTTCTTATCTTGTATATCCTAAAAACCAGGAATATGACTATTAGAAGACCCCCAGGGAGGGAAGCTAATAGAGAAGATGACCTCAGATTTCCATTCACAACTGGAATGAGAACAGAGCTGGCATAAAGGGGGAAAAAAACGGCAAAGTAACCTGGCAAAAAAAGGACTAGAGGTGACTAATAACTAAAATAGCAGAGGATCCTTTGCATCTCCCAATGTTCCAGTTACTAAAGTTACAACAGTCATTTCCATTAACCCAAAGAGAGGGGCAGTAAAATATTCAAGTGAAAATTTCCTCTCCCACCCCCAAGAACTCAAACTAAAATTGGGATTTCGAATTCCTTTAAATGGAACAAGGGGCTACATCATTTTCATTCAAAAGACTCAGTAGTTACTCAGCCTTTTCAAAGCACTTTACTATCATCAATTATTTCTCAGTGAGACAGAGAAGATTACCCTGACCATTTTACTGATGCGGAAACAGACACCAACAGCAGCAAAGGGAACAGGGGCAGGAAGAGGGGTGATAGGAAGCATCTGGGAGGAACAGGCAGGCAGCTAAAAAGGAACAAGCCCAAAAGAAAATGAGAGTCACATCTGGCTTATAGCTGACCATCATAACCCTTATTTGTTATTTTTGAGCTCAGAGAAATTTCTGAAATATTTTGAAAAAAGAAAGTGCTTTAAAAATGTCAGTTTAAATCTAATTACAGTCTAAACTACTTGGTCATAGAAATGAAGTTGCTTAGCATTAAAAAATACCGAATCTCCAGAGCACATACTGATTTCAGTTTATACCAGCAACTCATTTTTTCCCCTCAAGCCTAACCAGTATGTTATCTATTGACCCAGAAAATAATCTCTCATAACAACTATAGATTTACATAATCATAACAAAAAGACACAAATATCCCATAAATCAGAAATAATTTGCAATTACAACCCAGAATTTTGTTTAGAGAATTATCACAAAAATATTCCTTGAATTTGCCCTTTAAATAAAAGGAATACTTGTTCTATATTCACATTGATTATCTTAGCTATACCCTTGAAATTTCCAGAAATAAACTACTGGTGGGAAGTTTTAAACATCCAGAAACTAGCACGCATAGTAGGCTGTGAATAAACGTACATTGAACTCCATACTAAAGACAGCACAGGTGCTTAAGAAAGATGTGTTGATTGAACCATAAATCCAAAGGACTGACCAACTGCCTCATGAAAAAAACTAATAACACCTCTTTAAGACTGACTCCAACGTTCTTTGTACATGTTAGGATACCATCAACTTTAAAGCATACTCATGCATAATGCAGTAGCTATACTAATCTTTTTTTCCCCAAACCATCAATTCCAAAACAAATCAGGTTCTCTGGGGTAAACAGGTATACACACCAAGAAGCTCATTTGGTTGCATGATATAAAGTGTATTAAAAAAAACTTCAAAACCATTTTAAATGGTGTTTGACTAATTTTTTTTTAAATCCTATCAAACTGTTTTAAAAGTTATGGATAAAGCTATAGCAGAACAAATACAAGGCATTAGGTGAATGTTTAAACACTCCTTTCTCAAAATCCCAATTGGACTCATTTCCAAAAGCATATTTTCACATTCCTCCTATTAAATATACAAAATCACAAACAGTCTGAAAGAATATTTATCATTGGAGATACACTATTTAATGAGTAATTAAGAAAAAAATGGCAAGGAAGGCAAAATTGTCATTATCGAAAAACATTCCCAAGCACTGTTATGGAAAGGAATATGCATTTATGAACTTATTGTTATAATACAATTGCTTATCATAGGAAGTTGCACTCCATAAATGTACATCTTAAAATACTCTTCCCTCAAAACATAAGTATGAATAGTTCTGGGGGGCATTAAAAATGTAGTAACATCTGCACTTGTTTCAGGAAAAGAAAAATCTCTAATAAATTTGTAAATCATATGATCATAAGCAAGTTACTGACGTTCCCTGCCTCAGTTTCCCCCTACTAACCTATCCATTCACGTTCTCTAGAGATGTTCTAAAGTCACCCCACAGTCAAGTCATAAACGTTAACCTTCACGTTCTTCAAATAAGAGGCAAATTTCAACTGCAATTACACTTTGTGATAACAAATGTTTAACAACGTTTTTCAAGAAATCACTAGTCTTAAATGGGAACCTGTAAGCAAATACCTGTGCTGCTCAAACACTGTGGGGTGGGGGGCTCTCGGGAGAAGGGGAATTACAGTTCGGCCCCTAAGCTATGTATAACCTCAAGGCGCAAAATCAATGGAATTCGCCTACACTTGTTCTCCCTCTGGCTCTTCACACTTGGATGGAACACCAGCACTATCCAGGTGAAAAAAGTCAGAAGGGTAAGGAACCATTATTTAGAGGCTGTTTCTAAATGAAGGCAGCAATGGTCCTGAGACTCAGGCCGCAAGTGCGCAGCGATCATCGCAGCTGCCTCGTGGCCCCTTCGGAGACTTGGAGCCCCCCGGGCCCCTCGCCGCGCCCTCCGTGCCGCTTCACCCCAAGGGCTAGCCACCGGCGCCCTTCAGCCCCCGCTAGGAGCCCCACGGAGCGCACCTGGCACCAGGACCCGCGCCCGCGTCCCGCCACAGGCGCATCCTTCCGGGCTGTCGTTTCCCTCCCAAACTCCAAAAGTTGCCTCAAAAGTCCCCGGAAGACGTCCGGGCCCGTCTCAACCCAGATCACGCAAAGTCACCCCTGTTCCTCAGTCCCGCCACCCACCCGCAACGCCCCCGGGCCCCAGGCTAACCCTCCCCACGCGGGGAACTCCGCGGGAGGACAGGGCGCTGTCCGCACTGCCTGTGAGGTGACGGCTAGAGGACAGCGGCCGGCGCCCGAATGCCGCGGGCGGCATGGGCCCGCGGCCGACGAAGGGGCCCCGGGGGAGCGTGAGGGGAGGCGCGAGAGGGGCTGAGGGGAGTCCGCGGAGGACGCTACTTGCGGGAAAGAATTCGTGGCCTCAAGGGTGAAGTCACCGGGGGCGAACGACGAGGGTGCGGGGCCGACCTGAGGCGGGACCCGGCGGGGCGGTGAGGGGGCGTTCCTCGTGAGGGACGCGCCGCCGAGGGTTTCCTCCCCGCCTGCCCGCCCACGGACAACGGTCAAGGACCGGGTACCACAGCTCCGTCTCCCCGCTCCTTACAGGGCCCGAAGTCACCACGCACCTCGGGTCTTGTAGGCGAAAGCAACGAAATTCTGTCACGCTGGTCCCGCGAGCCGGCACCGGGCTTCACACCGCCGCCGCCATGTTTGAGAAGCCGCGCGCGGAGCCGCGCATGCCCCGCAACCGCCACCGCCGCCCCGCCCCCCCGGCCCGCGTGCCCTGCGGTTGCCGCGTGCACGCCCTATGACCGCCGCCGCGTGCGGGGCCCGAGCCGGGGGCTTGGCAGCCTTCCTGCACGAGCTTGAGCGCCCGCAGTGGCCGACGGTGAGATACTGCGAGCCCGGGAAAGTCCTTGGCAGTTTTCCCTCATCCCCCCAATCCCACGCCAAAAACAAGCCTGTTGTAGTCCATGCACCCAAGGCCGTGGAGAGCTCCTAAGTGGGACCCCCGGGTCCGCGTCAAGATCCATTCCGGGACTTGCTCGCTTTCGCCATCGCCTTCAACTCCTAGCCACCACCCACCCTGGCCACGCACCCAAAAAGCAGGCGCTTCCCTAGGAACTCAAGCAAGTTCGAGGAGCAGGGAAAAAGCAGCTGGTTACAGCAGCTTGAGCAAAGCCACTCCTTCGCGGGTTGCAGCATATTCCTTGCTTTTTTTTTTTTTCCATGAGTTTTTGCCACGCATTCTCCTTCCTCTCAACTCCGCTTTCTGGATTTAGCTGTTTCCCAAAAACCAGTTGAGCTAACGGGAACTAGATTATTAACCTGCAGGGGAAATCATTTGCTCACTAACTCAGGAGCATCCCCGCCAGTGCATTTTGAGGTCCCATCTGCCAGCTCCCCCCTTGTTCCAGGGAGGAGCCCATAGTGCAGGTGGAGGTCGCACCAAGAGGAAGGGGGTGTAAAAATTGCCTTAAAACAGCCCGCGATTCTCAACACAAAATGGAGCAAGCAGAAAGCCAGAGAAGAGCATCCGTTCCTCGTAAGGTTAGGTATAAACTAATTTCAAACTTTTGTTTGAAAAATAATACAATGTGCTATGCTAGCTAAAAGTAAACCATTGGTAGGCCTTCTCTCTCTACAACTCTTTTCCAAAGCTTGGTGTAGCTTTTGCACCCATGATCGTGTCAACTTAGTGTATAGGGTACTTTTTAAATCATCATTTGGAAATCAGAGCCTGAAACTAAAATCAAAAACAACCAAACAAAACAAATCTGTGGAATATGTCCATTTTCTACAGAATAATGTAGAATAAAATTATTTTCATTAACAATTTTTGCAGCATCAAACAAAAGCCAAATTAAAGTGTTTTTATTGTATCTAAACACTGGTGAATGGCACAAAACCAAATTGCTCTGGTTGTTCTTGAATCCTTCAAAAATGAAAAAATAAATGTTAATGCAAAATTCAAGTAAACTTTAAGGCAAAAATAGACTAGGCCAATGATATGTAAATATTAAAGACAGACTTGGTCATATCAATTGTATATAATATATATCACATAGAGGATGTTGAAATGGTCTAAGATGAAGGTTCAAAAATGTTTTTAAAAGTTAGAGATCTTTAATGGAAAGAAATTAGAGGTTTAATCTAAGCACACCCTTAATATGGGCAACAGCAGGGGTGGGGGACTTAAATTCTTAATTAGTGGTCACTGTCTTTCTAATCCTGATGCAATGGAAATATTTGAAATTCATCTCTACATTCTAAATATGAAAGATTTGACTTATCATTTATACCTGTTTTACATCTATGGGCTCTTTATAAAATTATAGGAATCCTAATCTGATTGCTAAATTGCGTGTCTCACTGATGCCTCACTGATGCAACTTCCCATATTTCTGTTTTTAACAAATTACTGAAGCCCTTACTCTAAGAATGTAATTTACACTATCTATATTAGAACATCTTCTCAACTACTATGTTCATCAGTAGATTTATAGAAGTGTGATTCTTTGTTATATTAAATATGTTGTTGATACTGATAAAATGACTACCATTTATTGAGCACCTACTATGTGCTGAGAATCATGCTAGTCTGGTTAGAGACTAATTTCCAATATTCACAGTGTTCTCTCACAACTTGCCTATGAGGTAGGTGTACTCTCTAATACTTTGGAGTTCTTATTCCCATTTTACAGATGAGGAAAATGGATATCACAGAGCAAATAAGTAGCAAAGTTAGCTTCTGAACATACATTCAAATACTTTCTAACTATTCCTTCCACCCTTGTCATCAATCATGCTTTTATCATACACTATGTTTATAAACTTTCAATAATAATTATTTTATTTACTGCTTTTCCCCATTTGCCAAAATACATTTGACTGCTTTTTTAATCATGTTGACATAGGTTGGAACATCATTGGGTTGTTTTTTGTTTGTTTGTTACATTATATGGAAGTATCTTGCACATAGCAGGAATTGAGTAAATATTTGTTGAATGAGTGAATGGATACCTACTATTATGATGTTCAGTTAATTTTGCCTATAAAATGTGAAAATGGGAGACTGTTAAACTGAAAGAGTAAGAGCTAAGGCTGGTGAAATCCAGGTTTTCATAATTTATTTTTCAAGCCTCAAATTTGCTCCTGTGGATTTGCTCCTACAGTTCTTACCTCGCCCAAAACCTATGACAACCTTAAAGGAGATACATCACCCCACCCAGTCCAAGTCCAATGCACAATACTCCTGTATCTCCAGTGTGTTTGATTACTTCCTTTTGTACCTTTCTTCAGAGTTTAATATTAGACAAACAGAATGAAAAGATAATCTTTCCTAGATAAGCAAGTTTAATCTAGATTTTCATCAATACACACCCTTATATTGAAACAATATTATGTGTGTACATGAAGTTAACATCTTAGAATGATTAGGGAAGACTCTTAGTTTTTTCACTTCATGCACTTCTTTCTCCATAAAACACAGAAGCCTAACTTAGTCTGGCAGAAACTAGAGATCCAAGGTGTAACTATAGTAAACTCACTATTCATATTTTCACCTCAGTGAAAAAATCCATAGAATGGGTATTAAATAACTGATTAAAATAGTTACTGAGTTTACAAACATCTTTAAAACCTTGTTTCTAACAAATTGCCCTATTTTCCCCATTAAACCAAGAGCACATATCTGTAAGTTGATTTTCATATTATTATTTTTTTGTTACAATAAGCTTCTTTTCCTAACTTCAAAATAGTAACTTCCCTGGAAAAATATCCAAAAGTGAAGTGTGTGATAGGAGAACAGAGAAGCTAGTCTAACGGGAAGGCAGCCAGTGTGTTGTAGTGAAAGGATGTGGCTGTGACAGTAGACTTGAGCTCTGGTCTGGAATCTCAAGTCTATCATCAAGTACCTATATTTCTCTAGAATTTTTTTCATTTTTAAAATGAGGGTAATAAAACCTGCTACACTTACTTCACAGATGAGAAAGTACTATTTAAATGTGTCAGAAAAACCACATGGTCTTTGCTTAACAGATCCCCACAATTTACAAAAAAAAAAAAAAAAACAAAAAACAACACATTAGTCTTTTGCCAACAAAGTGTATGACATCTAAGCTGACTTTGGCCAAGTCATGTATTTTATATGCTGTGAAAACTGGCATAACCTCAATGAGCACTCTACCACACTACACTTGGCCTTTCATTCAGTGATTTAGTGAATGCTTGTTGTGTGCTGCTCTGCTAGAAGTGAGGATGCCAAGGTGACTAAGACGATTTGAATATTCAAGAAGTTTACAATCAGTCCAAAGAGGAGAGATAGACAGACAGATATATGTTTTAAGATCTTCGGAAGAACTGGGATCTATTATCACACCCTTCATCACATCAAACACTTTTAAATGTACCCATGTCATATATAATATTGTATAACTAGATAAATGGAATTGCAGTTGACCAGCTGACAACTGGCCCTTTGGGCATTTAGTTAAAACACTTATTAATTTTGATTTTATACTTCTGTACTGGTTATTCTCCAAAGAGTCACCTGGACTCATTACCCCTTCCTTCTAGGACCTGCGTTCTGGCAGTAGCAGTGGCAGTGGCTCTACAATGACAGTTCCTGGCAGGGGCTCCTCCACAGCTTCGGTTCTCACTGGGTCTTCAGGAAGGTGAGTGAGTATGATTGGGGTGGGGAAGAAGCAGGTACATCTGGCGAAGCATCTCCCAGTACCTAGCTCCTTCAGCATCCCTTGTTAGTTCCCTTAAAGCTACCCACACCTCTGTAAATAATTCAGCAAATTCTCTTCAAAATCACTACGACTACCTTCTGTTCCTGCTGGGACTATTATTGAAACAGTTTTCTTTTCATATTTCAAGCCAACCAACTGTGGGGATGAAGGCCTCAAATATTTCTGTAAGGTCTTTGAGAACTTCTAGACCCAAGACACTGTGTCTATAGCACCCAAGGGTTTCACAGCCTGTCATATGTAAGTCACTGGGATATTGTGAGCTAGAGTGGATAAAATTAACCTGGAGAAAGTGTCTTAGAGTGAAAGTTAAAGAAGATAATGTATGAAAAACACCTAAATGCCATCTGATTGATAATAAACACTCCATACCACAATTACTAGTTCCTCATGTGCCTATTTCTTAAGAGGGTAAAAGAAGTGACATTTGAGTTGAGAGAGGAAGAATGCAGTTTGCCAAATAGACACAGAAGCTCATTGGGAACAGCATGTGCACAAAGTCATGAAAAGTCACTGCAGGGTCTTTGACCAGTGAAAGGTTCCTTGTACCAAACAAAATAAGAAGGGGTCAATTTAGTCAGGTCTTGGAATTCTGTGCTAAGGTGTCTGAATTTCATTCTGTGGACAATGGGGAGCCATTGAAGGTTATTAAGCAGAAAAGCTGTAGAAAGAGTTGCAGATCCTGTAACTCCTCTAGCTGCTGCTGCAGCTCCAAGGGCTCTGCTCACCTTTCTTAATGGAAATGTGACCTCTGCGAGAGCAGCCTGAGATGGGACAAGAGCTGACAGGAGGCCACCGGTTCTCCAGCAGCAGCCCTGGAGAGTGCCAGCTGGAGTGGACAGAGGCTAGGAGCAGTCAGAGCAGTTAGGGTTTAATGGTTACAGGGAGAGTGACAAGGACCAGAGAAGACAGTGGGCCAAGTGGATCAACAATTCTGCAAGGCCACTTCAAATGTGGT